CCAGAAGCCAAGCTGAACGAGATAGGGAGGCTGAATACACTGTTACAGATGAGCAACCATCTACCTCACAAAATGAAAATGTCAGCCAAGAAATTCCCTTCAGTTTGAGCCAAAGCCATATGAGGCAGTTTGAAGCAGCTCAACGACGTGATGAAAGCTTAAAACCCTTATGGGATGAAGTGGTCCCAGAAAACCACACACCCACAAGTGAAAATCCAGTTATGTTGAAAGTTGTGGAGAATAAATTGTACCGAGTTGTGAGGAGACAGAAAGGTCCCAAATTCTTTGAGGAAAGAACACAACTGGTAGTTCCACAAAAGTATAGGGCTAAAATCCTCAAGCTAGCCCATGATACCACATTCAGTGGACACCTAGGTATCAGGAAAACCAAAGATCGCATACAGTCAAGATTTTTTTGGCCTGGAATGGGAGGTGATGTGACAGCCTATTGTAAATCCTGTGAGACTTGTCAAATGGTGGGAAAAGCCAAAGACAAGACAAAAGGACTGTTACAATCCATTCCAGTTGTCACTGTTCCCTTTGACAAGGTCGGAGTAGACAACATTGGCCCTATGTCCCACAAGACGCTTGATGGACATAGATTCATCTTGACTGCCGTGGACTTTGCCACGCGATACCCAGAGGCAATTCCATTGAAGGAAACGGACGCCAAAACAGTGGCAGACGCGCTGCTCAATGTATTTGCACGCGTGGGTTTTCCCAGATCTATCATCACAGATCTTGGAGCCACCTTCATGTCCCAGATGATGCAAGAGCTGTTCCGGACCTGCAAGATCAAGCATCTTACTTCTACTCCATACCATCCTCAAACCAACGGCTTGACGGAAAGATTCAACGGTACCCTCAACCACATGCTGAAGGCGTACGTCCACAAGAACCCTAATGATTGGGACAAGAAACTACAACACTTCTTGTTTGCTTATCGGGAGGTTCCACAAGCCAGCACCAAGTTCAGCCCATTTGAACTGCTATATGGGAGAACACCAAGAGGACCTATGGACATTTTGAAGGAAGCATGGACAGGAGCAGAGGACATTCCGGAGAGTGATATCAACAGCTACATTGAGGACTTAAGGGAACATTTAACCAGCATGAGAGACTGCGCAGCCGAGAGTTTGTCAACTGCCCAGCTGAAGCAGAAGGAACAGGCGGATCTACACGCTCGTTGTTTTGATGTGGGAGATAAGGTCCTGGTTTTGAAACCAAGGTCTAAGAAGAAACTGGAGGTTTCTTGGGAGGAACCTTATGTGATAGGGTCAAAGACTGCAAACGAGTGTAATACTGTAAAAAGTGGACTGGCCGGTTGTAATGTAAAACTGAGTAGTAGGGGAAGGAGAATTGGAATTGGGTGAAGGAAAAAAAGGAACAAACAACTTTATTGTCTACAAGGGCCAGACCAAATAACACATTTCTGAATGAAGGTGTTATTATAGCAAGGTATAGGATAGTGTATTGTTTAGGAATTGGTTAATCTGGTCAATTGCAGTCTTACAAGGTATATGGTGTTATTACAAGTGGTGAACTGTATATGTTTCATACAGTAGGTATGATGTATAGATATATTCTTGTAAAGTGTGTTAGATGTATAGGTTTTGCTAATGGACAAATAGTATTTAGAAAGTCACGATGTAAATATGGAGATGTTTGAAATAGACTGTTTATTAGATTAGAAGAGAAATTCCTTCTACTGTGTTATAACCTTATAGCAGACAGAAAGACTCTTATTAATGAAATAATTTGTGTTTGGATACAGAGACTTAAATCTCTCCAGATTATTTAAACTTGTATATATAGGTGAGAGTATAGAGATTATATGTACATAGAATGTCAGGAGGCATTCCATGGAAAAGGTATTGTATTTAATATGCTAGATAGTTTA